GGTTTGCTGGAGTCCTGGACGTGCAGCCTTTCTAAATCCATCTAACAGTACCCGCTTACCTGGACCCTCCAAAGTACCCTAAAACATGGGACTTGGTGACATGACCCTACAAAAAGAGGTACTTGTACTTGTTCCAGCTTTTCCGAGGTGCGAACTGAGACTCCAGGTATGGTTCCACCCCTTGTTTGTTCATGAACAAGGACCCCCATGTGTTGTGTCTCGACTTGGTGGAAACCGAGACATGTCTCACCAACGCAGGCGGAGCCTGTCTTCATCATCGTTGAGAACTTGTGACTTGGCGGGGCTGGTCCAATCTTGGGCACAAAGTGGGTGACATCTGGACGTCTTCTGGGGCGCAGTGTTGTTTTTTTGGGTGGGGGGGCCCAGAAATATGAGAGAATGGCAATTGCAGAGATATGTTTGGCGACGCGTCGCGCGACAATCAATCGAAAACTGATTTGGACTTCCTCCATTTGCTCAGGTTTTGTACATATTTCTTCCTCGCATCTTGGCAGGGAAGAGGGGTCCCAAAGCTGCCAAGCAGGGGTGCCTGAAGCTAGCAACAAGCACAGACGAAACCTCGGCAAAGGTCTTGTTGCATAGTTGGTCGATCTTTGTCGCATGTCCATGCATTTTCACAAAAAGAAGAATTGGTCATTCATTTCATTACATGGTTCACTGATACAGATGCATGGAATCCATGCATCTGGTCATTACTGGTCCCAACCTTTGCGCCACGACAGGAGGTCTGCATCCGCTTCGGTGCCTTTGAACGGAAGCGCCGGGCCTTCATGGACAAGCGCCTCGGAGCTGAAGACGGCGCGCGAAAGGCGCTGGAGGAGATGGAGCTGCAGATTGGGGAGGTGTTCTTTTTCATTGGAACGAACCAAACGATCTCACAGTTCCATCAGTTCCCAGTCCCAGTACCAAACGATCTCAGAAATTGACAGGAACTGTTTCTTTCGGACTGGGACTGGGGTTTGAAAGACCGAAAAAAACACAGCGAGGATGAGAACGTTTCGGCTCCCGAAAAAGGCGGGGCAGGACGTTCACATGGCCGGGGGGCACTCCGCGTGTAGTGATTAGTGATTCATGAGCTCGGAGCTGGGTTGTTTGGGTTCTTTGGTACTGTAGGGAGCAGCTTTGGGATGGGTTTGGGTTTGGTTCTTTCATGTTCTTTCCTTTCCACGCCTTCAAAAAGGGCCTTCAAATTCAAGGTTTTCGTACAGATCATGGCAATTGCACAAGGTTTGTTCTTGGAACCTCCACCAGCACTTTGAGGGATTGTGCTAATGACTCCCCACTTTTGGGGGGAAGTCCAGCTCGAAGTGAGTTCTGAGAGGTTCTGAGTGGTTGTGAGTGGAACATAGAACGGGACGACCAGGGCAAATCAGCTCAGACCCAATCAGCCCACGGTGGATGTTCCTGTTGCTTCCCGCTTCCCCATCGTTCAGGCTGTTGGCGGGGGTCCAAATCCTGAGCAATCAGTGAACCTATATGCCAGTGCCAGTGCTTCACACTGGATTTCCTTTGGGGGAAAAATCTGCAATGATGTTGCTCATCAACTCATCAACTCATCAACCCAGGTGCCAATCCCCAAACCAGGACAGCTGTCCTGTCCTCAGTAGAACTGCTCTTTGTTTCAATATCTCCTTGCTGGCATGAACCTTACCCAGGCTCAGAAAAAGAAAAGCTAGCTCCCACCCACCGTCTTCATTTTTCTGCCTGAAAAACACTACACCCCTCACCGTCCCACCCCTCGCTCTCGATCCATCCAGATCCATTCAGAAGAGACGACTCGGTCGGATGGAGGGATCGATGGACCGATGGACTGAGGTGGTTTGTCTTCGACGCGATCCTGGTTCTCAACATGGTCGTTGAAACGTGGTTGCTTCCCATCCTGTCACCTGGGCCGCACGACCGGACCGGACCGGAACGCGGCACGGCATCAAAGGCACGGCCACCGGTGCTGCCACGTGGCGCCGGTGCAGGTAGGTGCAGGCAGGTGCAGTATACGGTTTGAATTGCGGATGGATATCCATGGGTTGCGAAAAGGGCTCTCGGTCTCGTGAGCTAGACTTACCCCTAAATGGCCCTAAGCACGACTTCGAGATCTATACAGGCCATGTCCTCTTTTGGGGGGGTTCCACCATGTCCTCTTGAAGACCATCTTTCATCCTTCTCACCATTGGGACGGGCATCCGACAACCCTTAAAACGCACCCAACACACTGAACACACCGATTGCGCTCAGCCACGCGAGCGACGACCAGGCGCCAAACGGCGGGTGAAACGCAGGAGAAACCGCGACCCGTGCGTTCGGCGCGAGGCGCGGGCCGCAGCGCCGATCCCCGAGGATTCTGACATCGAGTTCGGATGATCTGGGGAATACGATTGATGTGTCGATGCTCCGCGCTTTGGACCTGTTCGATGCTCCGACCCTTCGAACATGTCGGGGAGGAGAAGGATCAGGTGGGGACGACTCAGGACTTCAAGGCGCGGGGGGGGCGCCTTCAGCCCGGTGAAAAGCACATAAATTGGCAGGTGGTGGAGCGGTTGTCTTCGGTTCGTGATTGACACATGCTGGCTTTTTGGACATGATCGGTGGGTTGCAAGATCCACCGACCGTGATTTTCACGTCTATTGGTCATTCATGGTCATTCCCTTCTTGTCGAAGCAGACAACTGACAGCCTAGACGAAGTGGGTCAGAACAAGCTTCTTAACCCATACTGCCTATACGGGTTTGTCAGCCGAGGGCACCTTCATGATTTGGAAGGAGAGTGGCGCTGATCATTTTGGAGTAGGAGAGTGGTATGTCAAGGTAAGTTCGTCAAGCTTTTATAAATGGTATTCAAATGGGGAACCTCCCAGTTCGACCTGTGGAAGAATGAAGCTAGACCATCCGTTGTGTGGCCCTTCTAATTATTGGCAGACCATGTGTACATTTAATGATATTAGATTCTAAGTGTCCTGGCTGGACTACCCTATCACTATGGATGTCCACCATCGGATATCGCATGGTCCAGGCAGAGATCCATGACGTTCCCTCCAGACCGACCGACGAAGAAGCTCGCGGGACCACGCCGACCGGTCGTCGACCGGTCGCCGCTCGGCCCCCGAGGCATGCTACGCTTGGTGAAGCTCACCCGGCTCTCGCGCATCACGCGGCTGCTGCGTGCCGTGCCCGAGCTGGCCATCATCGTGCCGCTGGGAAAAGAGAGATAGCAGTGACTGGAGGGTGCGGGGGGGGCACAATTCTATGGACCATGATGGACCATGTACTGTACACATGTGTACACTGAAGGACGTTTACGGGATGGCGCCATCTACTCTGAAAGCACTAGGTCCAAAGTCACAACAGCCCAAAGGTATGAAGAGTCCAACAATGCAGAGAGGTCGAATTGGTTCGAAGAGGGTTTCTGATCGCACTGGGGTCGAACTTGAATAATCATTGTTCGGGATATTGTTTTGGTGTGTGTGTAACCCTTGGAATCATACGGAGCCTTTTGGCTTTTCAAATGACCTTTTAGATCACGAGGGTGCAATGGACACTTTGGAAAGCGTTGCCCAACGAAGACCTTTTCCTGGCGTTGTGATATGACTTTGGGACGCCAAAGTCACGTACCTGCATTTCGACTTTAATTCCCCACTTAGTCCTGTTCCTAACTAGAACAAGATGACCAGCCGTTGCACCCGTTGTGCATTCTGCAGACAAGTGTCCGTCGACAGTTCTGCTTTGTCTAATCGTGTGGAGATTCTGGTCTGGACTTTCTTGATTCCAGGTTTATTGAAGCATTGCTACACCTAGGCATGTGGCAGTCAGACCGTAGGTATGTGTATAGGTATTCTATCCCGTGTGTGTGTGTGTCAACCTCTGTAACTAAGAGTTTCGACTACTTTCACCCTTTTCCATGCAGGGGCACTGAGCACTCCTTGGCAAACTCAGTGCAACGAAGCTATGCCTTGGAGTGGGAAGCACGGATTGATCACCCGTGTGTACCTGCGACAATTTGGAACTGTTGAACACGCTGTCCAATTTTGCTCTTTGATTCCATGGTGGCTTCATGCTGCTCCCCACAAACCCTTTTTCCACCGCTGATGTGCAGCCGCGCTGATCGATCTGCAGACATGTGAACAATATGTTAAACTTTTCAATTGCGCCGACTCTTTCACCTTTCCGTTCCATCGCCATTTTTCCTGGGAATTGAGTCAACTGAAAACCAATGTCAGAGTGTGTGTGAGCTCGGTCGGGCTGCTGGTTTACTTAGTTGACCTCAAAAGTGTGCCCCTCCGGGGGCCGTGCGTGATGTGTGTGTGTAACCTTTGAGATCATAAGGATTCTTTTGAGGATTCTGTTTCACCTAGGCATCCGTGTGGCCGTGTGTGCCCCCCGAGAGTGCGCGCCTTTGTTTTATTGCTTTGTAATGGTCAAGTGCACAGGAAGGGAAGGAGCACCAATGGCATCCTGCGGGACAATGTTCTCTCCGCATCACCCAGCGGACATTTGGAACGGTTCGGTGCCTGCGCAGCTTGCAGCCATGCGTATGGGGAGAGAAGGTGGCCTGCTTCCTGGAGTTGGAATGCAGCTTCACGGTACCAAGTGGGATGAAGGATCGGTGGGGCCCCAGACAATTCCAGGCATTACCCGGCAGCATCAATCATCATTGTCGCATCAAGGGCATCTTGGTGAGATGCGAGACCCTGCCACGACCCATGCCACAGTATATCATCCAGAGCATCCCTGCTGCTTTGACGAGTGCCTGGTATGTCGCTGCATCGATGCATACGCTGCCCTCAGAGCAGGCGCCAGACTCAGGGCGGATATCTCAACGTGAAACAGGGTGACATGGTGTCCATACTTTCAGCCGAAGAGTCTGGGCACTCTGGAAATACATTCGCCCAATACGTCTTCGCGCAGTGCAAGGACAAGCGCGGTTGATGACCCGCACTTTTGCTACATCCTGAGGGTTGTGCGCCCAGATGCGCTGACACATGGCCTGACAACAGTTCATTGCAGCGGGCTCGTGTTGCCCATTGTGGGTCGCCATGTGCATCGCTGGCTCCTACATCCGAGAAGACTGTGGTCATTCAGGAAGAGAATTGTCGGAAGGGGGCCACAAGAAAACAAAGAAAACAACATCTTTTTGAGAAACAATTAGGAACAAGTAGGACATCATTAGGCCCGATTGTGGACGATTCGCATGTTTGAATGGTTTGGGACCCGGAGAGGCCACTGCTGGATGAGGAAATCCACGTTCGCTATAGGGATCCACCCACCGGCCGCCAGGCAGATCCAGGCAGAACCTCCACGAATCACCAAAAACAACTACCAGCGCCCTCCAACAGGCTGTTAGTTGAGGGTTGTTGGACCCTAACAGGTCTCAATTGGTGACCTGTCGGAGGGTGGTATTTAAAATATAGGCCCAATTTTGACTGAGCATGTTTGTGGGGTTTGGGACTTGGAGAGGCCTCTGCTAGATGTAGTGTCTACAGGCTACAGTGATACCATCCACCTTAGCAGGTAGAGCCTGCCCATTGCCAGGCAAACTTCCTGACCGTCAGTTTCACTAGGTTCTATTCAAACTGCTAGCTTGAAACAGTTGTGTGGGAGTGCAGCAGATTGGCTGTGCGCTGGCGGCACTTGCAATTGAAGCCCCTCAAACCCACATGTAACATGTATACAACTGCAGACGAGGTGAAATTGAATTAAGACGTTGTACGAGTTGAAGTGAAATCAATTCAATTCACCCAGATATGTTTCCCAACATTTCACGGGAATCAACCATCACCAAATTATTTGTTGGGATGTTGTTGGGGAGATTACGCCACGTGTCTGGCTTCACAACCCCCAGCCCCAGACATGATTGAAAGACCTCTTCATATCCCACCCGGAATTTGTGGTGTTGGTTGGGGTAAAATATCATCAACAGTCTACACTCCTTGAAATCATCCTGGAAAGTCGATGTCACCCCCTGTTTGGCAGTCGAATTTCGTTTGATTTCATGATCATCCTTTTCGGCTATGCCATCCACTTCCATGATTTCATTGGGGTGTACGATACACGTACGGGTCTTGGTAGTTTCTCCGTGATGGTTTTCAAAACTAGAAACATGTTCTAAGTGGGGGTCCGTCTAAGTGGGGGTCATTCTGTTTTGTTCGGTTTCGCTTCTCCACAAACCGTCACCGGAACGTGCGCCTTCCTCACCGAGGAAGGCGATCGGCCTGTCCGCTCGATCGGTGACGGTCTTTTTTGCGCTGTGGTTGGTGGCTCGGAGGAGAGGGGACACTGAAGCCGAACGAAGTGCCACGAGAATGTTCAGGACGTGCAACGGAAGCATTTATTAGTATAAGTATAAAACATACGACAAACAACTATTGTAGTTTGATATGTTTTTGTTTTAATTTGTCAATTGAGACGGGTGATTGAAGGCTGGCGAGACGCAAGGGTATCAGGATTGGATTGGAGAAGGGTTTCAGGAAAATATAGATGGAACGATAGGAACTCCTTTATCTCAATGCTTTATGAAGACCAAAAACACGGTGCGAAGATAGCAAGGTCACGAAAAAACAGAGAGGAGTTTGCACAAATACTAGTAGGGTCATTTGTGGGAGTGTTAGGGCATGTTTGTCTTAACATAGAATAAACATAGAATCGAATGGTTGTCCAATGGAGATCCCTAAGTAGTCGTGTAGGGTAGTCCAGCCAGGACACCACCCCATTGGACGGTCCTGGTATTTTACTTCTACCACAGCAGTATCATAATATCTTTAGTTTTAACAACTCAACAATCACTTTGCTGGTGGCAGACTTTGTGGAACAATGTGAAATGCAGAGATAAGAGTTTCACAGACACCTGTGATTGTCTGCATGTTCAATGGACAAATCCACGGCGGTCACGGTGACTCTTTCTCATTGAAAAGACCTGTGCGATCCCGACCGATCCCGACCGCCGTGACCGCCGTGACCGCCGTGAGGTGTTGATCTACGTGTTTGCCATCACCTTGAGGCCAGGCGTCTCCGCCGGATCTGCGAAGGAGGGGACCCAACAGCGGATGGAGACGCAACGGCGTAGTATTGGGACATGATGGGACCTTTCGAAAATGAACGCGATGGCGCCCAGTTGTTGGCTCTACAGAAAGCATCTGCAAAACTGTGGAATTTGCAGAAAACCTTGACCACTGCTGAGCGTGTAACATTGGACAAATGGCCGGTTGAGCTTTAGCTGCGATATTATTAGCTAAAAGCCAGCTCAGACAGCTGTTGCCCAGCGATTGGACACATTGAAACAACATGGTTTATTTGCTGATTGCTCGGCCTCGATTTGATTTGATTTATCTATGTATACTACCCAAACACTCCATGTGTGCCATATATGACAACATTGGGGTTGTTTGGGGGTTCAATGTATGCATTTATTCCAGTCCCATGGAGTGTTTGGGTATACTACTTTTGTTTGGTATATATGTTGCACCCACACAAAATCTCAGTTACACCAGGCCGTATCAGCTCAGCCTCCGTGGTGGGAAAGCACGTCGAATAATGACGCATCACCACAAGAGAAAATGCATACATACGTATACATACATACATACATACCTACGTACCTACCTACCTACCTACCTACATACCTACATGTATATACATACATACCTACAAACAAACAAACAAACAATCAATCAAACAAACAAACAAACATCCATCCATCCGTCCATCCCTCCATCTATCCATCCATCCATCCATCCATCCATGCATCCATGCATCCATGCATCCATGCATCCATGCATCCATCCATGCATGCATGCATGCATGCATGCATGCATGCATCCATCCATCCATCCATCCATCCATCCATCCAGTCCATACCTACGTACGTACGTACGTACATACATACATACGATGCATGCGTATTTTCACACAGGTCCTTTTCACCAAGGCACAAATCCAACAATTTTTTCCCAGTTTTGAGCGGCTCTCCACAAAACACGACGTGCCCGCTGGTGGTTTCACGATCTGCTTGCCTCAAGCGATCGCGATTGGGGTGTTCAAACGGCTCTTTTTTAACGCGAGAATGCTCCTGAGTCCCTGCTCGTTCATGTAATGGGGAACTTTTGTTTGTTTGTTTGCTGGGGAGCATTTGTTCATGTCCTCCCAAGAGACCAGTTAACCCATTGGGCCAGGATGTCTCCTTATTAGAATACACACCCATTTGTTGGTTTATTCTCCCTTGAGGCAGCTCACCTCTGGCACTGACTTCGGGCAGAGCTACTTCAGCTCGGTGCCAGATGCGCCACTGGGTTCCCACACGCGTTCGGGCTTAGCGGCTAGAGGTTTTCACACGCGTTCGGATGGTGGAGTGAAAGGAAGCAAGTTGTGGGTCAGCTGGTCGAAAGCCTGCAAAGAGTTGTGACTTTCGGTGACTAGGGACTAAGGGTGGCAGGAACCCCTAGTAGTTTCTTGTTCCTAGTAGCCTAAGGGTGGCGACAACTCAATTAAAGATGAACCTACCCAACTCAGTCTACATTTCTTGTAGGATGTGAGTTGGTCACTGACGACACGAATGCGTTTTCATGTGGGACGAACGGAGACCAGACAAAGGACCACAGGACATCATAAGGGACATCACAAGCTGTTCTGTTTTCTTTTTTTTAAACGTGGTTTGTTCATGATGGGGTTGATGTGGGTTGATTCATGACTCGCCACATCGGTTGGGTCTGAGCAGGGTGAACGACTGCATCTTAGCAAGCCTGGGACCTGGGATGGAAGTTGTGTGAGAAGACATCCAAAGAGACACCAATGACATGTCCATCGACCATGAGAACTACACTTACCATTTGGTCTGCCATCATTTGTCAAGTTGTATCCGCTCACACTAAGCTTAACAGACTTTATATGACTTAAGTTCCACATAGTTCCACTTAAAGTCTGTTTTTCAAGTCCGAACTAAACTGAACAGACTTATAGACTTTAGATGACTTTGGATCAAGACTCAATTGCTCGGACGAAAACGAATAAAAACTTGTTCCACGTCTAGACATTCTTTGACATCTGAATCTGCACCTTGAGACAAGTCAACTCCTCGGTCTCCAATGGTGACATGGATGGCGCCAGGCGAAATTCCGAAGACCAAAGCGAGTGTAGACAGATGTGCCATCCACTGGAGATGGAAGACCATAGAATGTTTCATTGTAGGGACTCTTATTTTTATGTAAAGGTTTTGAACCGCCCACCCACCAGCACGTCCATTTTTCTTGAACTCGGTGGTGGGTGGCATGTGGTGGGTGGCCCATGTTTGGCTGCAAACGAACGACTCAGGATGGACACCTTGCTCTTGGATGGCATCTTGGCGGACTATGCCCCACTCGCGCACGCGGTCCCAAATGGGCATCCCATTGAGTGGCTCGGTGGACGGCATTGGGACCTTCAGAAAGGGTGGAGGCGATCGCTACTAGGTTCCAGGCCCTTGCTACTATACATAGAAACAAAAGGAACACAGAAAAGGAAGATAAAGGTCTACACCAGCAGCTGCTCAGCATCTTCATGTCGGGTTCACCTGGCTGGAAGCCCCTACACTATAGGGATCTCCCACCCAGGAAACCCTATACTTGGCACACCCGTCCGTGGACCGCTGCTGGGTCTTTCACTCCGTGGACGTCCGACTTCCCACTTCGGTAAGTTGATGAAGGGGGGGAGCCAATGGGACGTCACTGTGTAGGATCGAGACCGCTTAGCAAATCTGGGGAGAGAGAAAGCGAGAATGTTGTGGACTCTGGCTTGTCAGGAGCATACCACATACCAAGCGTGCCAGATCATACTGCATCCATTCATGTCACGTCTTTGGGAAGGACGTGACGCAACAACTGGATGTTGACATGAGAATCGGGTTTGTCCTATTACCAGTAACAGTCAGTAAACAATTATCACTATGTTTGAACAAGGCCTGCAACTGAACCGTCATCATCCACCGGGCCCCTGGTAATTAGGATAGACCCAACATGAGAACATCGACTGAAGCTCAGCGGAAGTGGAGTGCTCGGATCATCCCAGAATGAAGGTGGGTACCAGGGTAGGGCTGCCATTGGGTGGGTGGTGCCATTGGGTTCTATGAGGTGGATTCTGATCATCTTCTTTGTGCTGTTAGCATCCATCACCATCATGCAGCTTGGCGAAGCATCTGTGCTTCTTTTCTTCACTTTTCAGGCCAGGCCACGCAAACCCCTCTGGCTAGTCACCTCATCCACAAGGTCCTTGACGTCGCCTGAACGGAGAGAACCGTCGACCCGCCCCGCCCCTGGCGAAGCGCCTTGAGGAAGACGCTGTTCCAATAGGAAGGCACCCTCCCAAGTACCCACGAGTCCCTACGGCGGTCTATGGTTCATGCTCTCCATCTCTCTACGGCGGTCTACCAGCTGAGAGGTGCTCTCTATGCTCCAGTCAGGACTCTTCCGGTTCTTGCATCACCAGTCCCATGAAACATGCTTGTGATGTTTGGAAGCCAGAAACCCACTCCAAACCAACACATGTTTAAGGAGTTTGAGGCCTAGGACTTTGGCTAATCTCATGTGGTTCTTCATCTCACAGCAGTTTCTTGGGCATGCCAGCATTTTTCATCCAGATCCTACAACGTGTTCCTTTCTAAATGGACTGCGCTCAAAAAACCCTACTAAAGAACATAGATAAACGTAGACTTTCAATGGTTTTTGATTCTTCGTTTAGAAGCAGGCCCCCAGCAGACTATGGTGATACAGCAAGGCAGCACTAGATTGGCGCTAGGTTGGCGCTAGGTTTCTTCATAACAAGATAAGCAAACAGGAAAAAGAAAAAACAAGCAGATAGCAGGAAAAAGAAGAAGCAAGACAAGAAAAAGGAAAAACAACAAGAAGAAGACAAGCAAGCAGCAAAAATAAGAATCTAGCAGGATAAAGAAATCGACAGAGATGTTTGCGCTAGGCTGGCGCTAGATCCGCGCTAGCACCGCGCTAGACGACGGTCCATTTCTCTTGACCACTTGCCCATCCAACATCCAAACCTTTTGAGTCAGCTCTTACATCCTTCGTATGTCGTTCTGCCGGTTTCTGAGAACGAAAATTGGAAACAACTGCGGAAGTCCAGCAGTAGCAGCAGCAACAGCTCCAGCCCCCTGAAAAGGTCCGCGCTAGACACCTCTCACAACTTTTGCAGTTGACATGCCTTCAGGCTTTATCGCCCCTGTGGGTTGAGTGTGGTTGGAGTCTAAAGAGGAGATTTTTAAGCGGGCCCCCATGGAATTGCGATGAGTGCACAATTTTGGGAAATGACACTTTCTAAGCCAACCAAGTGCAAAAAAGGAAAACCACAACAGGTACATGCTGGTGGGTGTGCTGGTGGAAGTGGTGGGTGCACTGGCCCATGCTGAGCAGCTTGGATCTGGGCGAATGGGGATGGAACACATTCAGCACTGGTCCTTCCGCTTCCAAACCATTTTTCCGGGCCCTTATCTTTGTAGGGCCTGTAGGGGGTGTTCAAGAGCCCGCCCAAATCGCAGATTCTGGAATTGTTTGTGCCAGTTTGAGCTCTCATCCTTCACAAATCACTGATGGGGAACACTCACCCGACGACCAGTTCTTTTCTGTGGAGCAGGAAAATTTCTTCAGCGGAGCAGGACGTGTTGGGAAGTCGCCACCGAGCTGGGACTCCTTTTCAGGCTTGGTCTCCCTGAAAAACCATGGCCAGTTCCAGCAGAGGGACCAGGACCATGGAAGAGAACGGACGTTTTGCTGGGTTGTTTTTGATGAAATAGCAGGTGTAACCCAAGTTGATTGTCATTTTGAATCTTGCAGGATGTTTGTCTCACCGCAAGCCTTCCACCAGATGGTTTTGACCATATTTTTCCTATTTTTTGAAGTGTTTGAACAATTTCCAACGGCTTTTGCACGTCGCGTTGATTCGCGTTGCACCGGTGACGACTCATTTTTATCTCCCAGCGACCCGGGGGCGAAGAACACCGCGGTTATCTTCATCTCGTCTCCCCGCATCCCGAGGAAGGAGAGCATCACCGCGGCTTGGCATGCTGCGCAGTGTGTGTGCGCGCGCAGTGTGTTTCCGTGGGACATGATCCACCACCCCAAAATGTGTAGTGTAGGACGATTTGATGCAGATATATGCAGGATTGAACCTTCAAACCAGGCACGGGAGGATTGAACCTTCAAACTAGGAGGCTATGAAGGTATGAAGCCTGCGGGTCATATTGGGCTGTGATCTCGGCAATGAAACAAATTAACTACTGTACTGTTTGAGATCCTTTTTGCTCTTAGACAAGATACAGGTCCGAGATCCTTTCTTCATTTCGCCCGCAGAAGCATGTGTATGGGTTGATGTCAATTCGGTGCCCCTTTAACCAACAGAACCATCCCGTCCTGGGCCAACAACCGGATTTTGCAAAGACCGATGGTTGACCAGACCGCGGAAAGACCAGCCTGGACCGCAAAAGTAAACGGATGTTTGCGTCCTTTTGAGACCCTATGACCCTCCAGCAAATGGGTTTGGAGTTCCCCAAGAGGCTGATTATGGGCACCTTAGTGACCGGGAAACAACTATGGGATGGTGTCAAGGACGTTTTCCAAAGGAGATGCACCAGTTGCTGGTATAGGTTTGTGTCAATTTGCAGGGAAGGGCGGAGAAGGTTGACATGCAGACCACGTGTCTCACAATGCAGAGCCTTTGCTCAGCCGATTTTGGTCAATGTGTGCTAGGGCTCCCTCTTGCTAGTACTATTTTTTGACTGGTTCTCCCTATTTCAAGAGCTTTCCAGATCATGACCCTCCTCTGCAGGTCGCCAGTTTTCAACCTATTTTTTCGATGAGACCTTTCTTTTGATCAGGCACTACCCGATGAGACCTCTGTGGAAGGCACTGAAAACAAGGAAGCCACTTAATGCGATGAGGTGGGATTTATCGCTTCATCGCTGCGGAAGAAGATGGAACAAGCCGGGCACGATGAGGAGCTGCTCCGCGCGATGCTCCGCTCCCAAGCTCGCTCGCGATGGGTGGAGATCTCCAACAAAAGGAGTGTAGGGTAGTCGAGCCAACACACCCAGACAGGATGGTCCAGGTATAGAGGGGTTTAAGATATGGGACCTATGACAAGAACTATATATATATATAATATAGTTTTTCAGCATGCTTTGCTGCCAGGGGGAATTGGCATCCTGGACAGATAGATGCGGGTGTTTTGATTCTCGTTTGGTGTTCGAACATTTTGATTGGCATGGTAGGGATTGGTATGGCGTATGGACTGTATTTTGGAGACTGTTGTTCCTGAAAATGTTCCAAGTGGGTGCACTCGACAACATTCCAAAGACACTCCCAGCCATAGTACTGGGTACATTGACCAATCCTTGCCTTGACTCCACTTGGTTCCACAGAACATCATGGCCATTTGACGTCATTTGGCCATCTTAAAGCAACTTCACCCTCCAACCACAGATGCCCAGGCACAATTGAAAATCATTCTCTCGACCAAGCGCAACAGTACGTAGTCTCTCGTAAGCACCCGTGGCGAACTCCCTAACCCCTTCATTTTGGAAGTTTTAGGACTATGTTTTGATTTGAACATTGATCTCAATACATCTTGATCCCCCAAAAAGACTGTTTTATTTCTCCAAACACTGTTAGCCACACTAGGGCTTCTTACGGCAAGTGTTAAGGCCGGGTGCCCAGGAAGAATGTTTTTTAGATCCCCCCAAAAAAACGCCAAACATTATAAATCATACCAGTTGCTTCCAAGGGGGGTCACCAATGGACAGCCCTACACTGCATAGTTATAGGTCACCAAACAGGACACCCATGGCATGTCTTTGTAGTTGATCCTCTTACCGTCAACGAATCCTGGTGCGTCCCCCGTGACTCGTTGGAGCGCTCCACGTGTCGCCCGCCGGTGTTCCGCTCACCCTTCGGTCCGACGTCCGTTTGGTCGTGTCGGCCAAGGGAACGGAACCAGAAAGCAGCCAGCCATGCATTGGGACCAGCCAGGAGTCCGTCCTGAGCAAGTCGGAGCTTCAAGACATCCTCTTGGATCCCGAGATCACCGAGGTGGCCCCGTCGAAGGAACCGAACCAGAAGGAACCGGAAGGAATCCGCACCCAACCAGATGGCACAGCGGGGAGTGCCAAGTTCGGTGGTTTCGTAGTGGAGCCCCATTGTTTCTAGTCCTCTTGGGGTGCCAGTGCCATGACACCTCTGAAACCAATGATATAGATTGTACCATCGGTGCGGTGTGGACCGTGAGATGCCCAACGATAAGACCAACAACGTGAGCGCCACAGGTGATGTTGGACCAAAATGCTCCAACAACTTTGTAGCATTCAACAACTTGGGTTGACAGTTTACTGCAACCTGTAGAAAAAAGAGGTCCAACAGCTTTGTAGCACCAACAAATAAACTGTTGACGTCCGGCCCTTCGCTGTTTTCTGTCTGGTCTTGCTCTGCTGTGCTCGTCTCGCCCCCTTGTAGCACCAGGTCCTTCAGTCGGTTCAGGTGGACCTGCCTCTCGGCCCGACAAGAGAAGAGTGGAGTTCCGCGTCATCGCTGGGGGGAAAGAGCGAGCGACGCGAAGAAGGAACGGACGAATGGAAGACGGACACACTAAGAAGTGTTTGATGTGTGGTACACGGTTCGTTTTGAACGGATTGGACACACAAAGAAGATCGATCCTATATTATATAAGTGTTTTAGACATGTTTTGACATGTACCAGCACCTTCTGGTTTGGGGTCATCTGGCTGGAAGACCCCGTGGCTACCTACAGATCTCCAGACAGCCTTGGAAGGTCCAGGTATGTGACTTGTCGTCGGACGTGCGAACGAGGGTGTTGCAGTGGTGTTGAGCACCAAAGGGAGGTTCTCCAGACAGCCTAGAGAGATGAGCACACGATAGCACAATGGCTGGGGGAAATCCCTTCGTTTAGCCACCATCTTCAACTAGCTGCTGGACTGGGGTCCCTGAAACAGTAACAGGACCCAGTGAATACACTTCGATGATGCCAGACCCCAGTCCGGAGTTTCTGTTCGTCAACCCGAACAGCGTTCAAGGCTGGACATCTTCTTGCCGGGGTTGGGCATCTCTTGTTACCTGCAGCATATCAACCTAATCCTCAGGCCTTGGACTTCCCATTTATCCCATTTTGGTCCCTAGCCCTAAACTTCCAGGACCCTCCGTGACCCAATCTCCTTCGACATGCCACCCACCAGCCTCACAATCCGTTTTCTCTCTCCCTCGCTCCAAAATCCGCGCCCCGCACCCGGAACGCCAATTCCGGGGCCGGCTCCGCCACGCGGACGGGCAGGGTGGCGCTGATGGAGCTGGTGAACATCGGCTACGAAGACGCGGAAAAGACGGGAGCGACCATGACCTTCGAGAAGAGCCTTATAACTTAGAAGCGACACCGGCCCGACCGGCGCGAGGACCGCGTCGACCCTTGAGACGTCGGCCCGAAGGACCGAGGATTGGTGGGGTGGGGTGGAACAGGAAGACGAACAGATCTCCATCCGGGTTCGCGACCTTTTTCGCTATTTTTGTGTCATGTTTAGAGATGTTTCAATGTCTATAGGTCGGAGATTTTAGTAGGCAATGGTAGACACACACCGGAAACACACAGATGAGGAATGATGCAGATCCATTTGGTATATCTTTTGGCTATTGGTGAGCGGTTTCGATGTCCACTATCGACTCTCAACACGGAAGTTGATAAGTCACCCTGCTGTTGGTAAGTGCAATGCCCATGTGGATTCCGATGTTCCTCGGAGTGTGCCTCGGTACCTGGACCAAACTGACAAACCCGCAGCGCAGGCCGCCATAGTTCGGGAGGACTGTCATCCAGATGCGCCCCCACAGCCCAGTCCAGCCCAATCCAGCCCAGTCTTTCAACTGGTCAATTCCGGGAGTGAGGTAGTATATACCTAGCGACCAACGAGCAAGACCGCCCAGTTCCGTTTTCGGGTCCGTTCGGGTCCGCTCGGCTTCCAATATTTCTTAAAGTTCTTGACCCAGTGTCCCTCCGGGTTGTGCGGCTCCTTCGTTCCGCGGAAATCGCCGGCGTCCCGATCGTCCGAACGAAGTCCGAGGATCGTGGGATTGGTGGCTTGGCTGGGGAGGGATCCCCCGCAAAAGACACAACGGATGACATGATGCGGCCTTGGGATTTAGGGGGAGTGATACACCTATGATAATACGTCGCATATCCCGAGAGAACGGTCTTTGCAAGCTCAGTCTTCCGGATTGGTTGTCGGTTTGGATGGTTGCCATTGGGCAAAGCCCAGGATGGGTCTTTGGGATTGAGCCCAGGAGTGATCAAGTGGGGTTTATATTGGTTATATAGACTTGTGACTTGATCGTTTTTGAGGAAACTTGAGTGAGATTTGCTCCAGGATGTCCAAAACCGTTTTTGGTTTTAATATACTGATGGATGTTATTTTTGTTGCCATTGTGGGTCTATTTAAGAGGATCATTGCAGAACAACAATATTCAACCCTAGCAATGATACACTGGTGGTTTTACCCCATTATTTGCAGAAAACGTTATATTATGGTGATATTATAGGGACATTTGCTTTGACTGTGAGTTGTGAGGGATTGCTGAGGTCTTTCCTGTCTTCTTTACTTAGCTTTTTGTCAGCAAACCGCCTGCAGAATCCGAAGCAGACTCTGGGGGGAGACTAATTGAATTATTGAATTTGCAGCGACTCCGGTTCGCTTTGTTTGTTCACATTCTTTTCAGGGACTCTGAGGGGTGTTTAATGGTGTTTACTGGTTTCTTTTGTACTCTTGTGGTCCAGATTCGAATCTAGAGACCAATAGGACTCTATTTCATTGATCCCCCCGCTTTCTACACATGTGTTTGGAGACTTGGATGTGTTGAACAAAGGGAAGTGGAAGTTTCTCGTTTCTTCCCTGTGGCTGTCAGACAGCATCATGCAGAAGCGCAGAAGCTGCGTTTGGTTCTGCTGTTTGAGGTGCTGAATGGCCGCGGGCAGAACACGGCCTGCGTGAAGGATACCTCTGAGCTGCTGAGGAGATGTTGGGGTCACAGTGAAAGCGAAGTTGAACCCGGGTTGACCCCACCCAAACCATTGTCACAATTATTCCCAATCCCAGAAACTCCATGGGACTGGTATATATGCCTACATTGATGCCTGAAACCACCCCAATGTAGGTAAATATGTCTATACATGGAGTGTCTGGGAATTACTATGTCATAATAATGACTGATGTGTGACGATTTGTATGCCTGTCCTTCGCCACACCGGTTTGTTTTTCGCACGACCACTCTGCACCAACGAGTTGCTCATGACTGGAAGCCTTGGCAGCGGACTCCGCAACGGACTCCGTGACCAGGATCCTGAAGCAGATCATCATCCAGCGGACCAGCCGCTGGATGCGAAAAAGGGGGGGCTGGAAGTGTCCCGAACCTGGTTCCTCCCTTAGAAAACAAACAACAATCCCAGACACGACCTGTCTGGGACTGCCAGTCCGGACTGCCTTCAAAACGGCCAGGGGTGGTTGACTGGGGATCAATCTAGGCATATATATAAGTCCCATTAGTCGTGTGTTCTGGGAATGGATGATTCGTACCAACCGGTGCGAAGCCGGTGCCGGACCGGTTGGGACCGGTTGGGACCGTCGTTCCTCTTCCGCTGCACCTGCCGAAGGATCGACAAGCTACCGGAGTATTGGATGAGGAAGGCCATCCTGTTTTCACATGTAGGAAGGCATTGAGGAGGGTTACTCCACATGTATAGAATGAGTTGGGGTTTGAAAGCGACACCAATCTAGATCAGAGATGAAAAGGATTACGCCAACCACAGGCCCCCAGGGTTTGTCATCAATGGACATCCGGAAGCCTCACTGTATGGATACAAGATACACTTCCCCAAATTGACATAGCAACCACCTGGTCGCAGAACTTAGTCTCCCAAACTGTCCAAACTTGCCTGTGGGTTCTTGACAACCCAAACAAACCTTCATGTTAAAACATGTCAAGATCCTTCGCATCGTCGACTGCTTGTGGTTTTTTTGGGGCATCCGACCATTGACTCCTCCCGCTGGACACCCTCCAGGCTTTACGGAACGGCGTCCGTTCGTGTGCCGTGCATCAGCATCGGCCGAGGCGAAGTCTCGGAGAAGCTCCAAGATGAGATCGCCATGGTGCCCGATCTGCGCAGAGAAACAGACGACGACCAGACGAAGAGACCGTTCGCTGAGCAAATGGTTGCAGTTGAAGTAGCTCAAATCGGAAGACGGACCCCCCAAAAGGTGGGGTTCCGTTCGGGAATTTCTAGACCAGTCTACAGGGGCGATCGGGGCGATCGGGGGGTTCCGTCCGTTCGTGAATAAGGATGCAAAAGGGTCATCTGCGTCTTGACGTTTGCTTTGTCTATGTCCGATCAGTTTTTATACAAATAAATAGAAAAGGCTTGAATTAGAACGACCTCTGGTTTGGAACACATGTCTCTATAGGACCTGCCTGTCTTGCAAGAATTCAATGCTCCCAAAAGGAGACACTGATGAATTTCTCGCATTTGCTGCAAAGAGATCCTCCAAGGTGTTTGTTCGGAACCCCTTCAATTCGCTGCACAGTCTCAAGCTCAACATGGCTTTCATAACTGTTTGGCGGAATTCTGGATCATTCTGGATCATCTCTGTAGACTTCAAGACATTGAAAGATTGGGATGTTGGGAATTGGGACACTGCCACCAAGTCTTCCCTGTTAGACACGCCTTTCTTCTTTCTCCATCGCCGGTCAAGTGTGCTCCATCGCCGGGCGTCGGAGACGGGGAATTTCTGGAGGCCTTCGACTTCGATCTGAATGATCCACGACTTCATCACTCTCCCTTATAGAGACCCCCAAATAGATAATCTCTTTCAACATGTATTGGAAACCGTGCCACGGTTATCTATTTGGGGACCACTCTCCCTTCTTTCTCCCCAAATATTATACGCTGGGCATCTTTTAGATTTTTTCAATGACACATGACACATGACACGATCAGATACTGTAATCGTTTTGGGTACCAAGACTCTTCCGCACACTTTTGGCCAAAAGAAAACCCGACCCTCGTCGCTCCTCGTCGCTCCTTGCAGCCGCATCCGAAGCCTTCTCGCTCTTCTAGGTGCATCGAAGCATCCAAAGCATGAGGGAGGAGCAAATGGAGGGCGTCAGCGTGCCTTGGCGGGTGATGGCAGGTGGCCCGGTTTTTTTCGCTCGAGCCTCGGATTTTGGGACATTTTGGGGGTCAGAACATGAGAACATGTTTCTTCATGAAAGAAAGAATAATAAGTAATTCAACGGTAAGCAATTCAACGTCATTCTGAACAATATGCATTTTTGTTTTTGATTCTTGATGTTCTGGCTTCCGTGAGTACCTCTGAGACGCATGCCCCTGCCCCTTTCGTGCACATCACCTAACCTTGCTGATATCCACATGCATCCTGGGCTGCTTTGGAGGTCTCCCAATCTCAGCCGTTTTGGTTGCGATGAGCATGGCATCTTCCGTCACACGAGCCGCTGGACCCCGGTGATGGCTCGGTATTCTTTATCGGAAACAGATCGAGCTTTCCATTGGTGGTCTGAGGCAGGTTTGCTACTCAAGGCTGAAGCCTCAATAGCTTTTAGCAGCTCAAGAAGAAGAGTATTCTTTGGACCCTCAGGCTTTACTTACATGACATAGCCTGCAATGAGCTGATTAGGCCCTAAACAGATTGAACTCTCTATTGAACGTCGCTGCCGACCACTCCCATGAGGCCTTCTCACGCTTTGCCACTTTGCTGCGACGAGTGCCACGCGTTTTTTTTCATGCGAAGACCAAGACGGAGGGTTTGGAGTTCGGTTTCGAGGTCGACTGACAATGACAGACACAGAGGCCAATGAATGGTTGACTTCAGTGAAGAGAGCCATCTGAGCAAGGCCAAAATCGGGTGGCCTGGCCCCCTGCTAAATGTATTTATCTTTAGCCAGATTTTTCAAGCGAAATGTGGAGGCTAAAACTGATCGTGATTCCAAAGACTCTGGCTAAAATGGGTCTGGATTTTGGATTTTGATGTTGGCTACCCCTATTTTATTCGAGGATTTTAGCCAGGGCATTCCTGTGAAGAAAGCATGGAGTGATGAGATGTTTTTTGGAGCCTGATGTTGGACCCCGCAATCTTATTTAGGATGATTCTAGCCAAAGCTTGGTTGCGAAGAATCCAGGGATTGGTTTCAGGGAAATCTACAGGAAACCATTGTTTTCAATTCTTTGGCGCGGAAAACACAGATGTGACGTAGCTCACCGCGGTGTCCTCTTCGGGTAGTTTGGTGTCATGTGTTTATAATAAACTACGCTTCATTTTTCGGCCGCAGGCGGGTTGGGGATTCGGGCATGGTTGGGGGCTCCATTTTCCTCAGTGATAGGGCTCCAGTACAGGAATTCAGGGGTTTACAAGTTGTTTACAAACTAGAAGTGTCTAATCTCCAAGTATTATATCTTTCAATATCTTTCAAAGGACGGTGTGCTGCAGCGCTCACCAGCGCAAAAGACCTCCGGGCCGACCGAGGAGGACGAGGAATCTCCACCCGAGGAGGACCGAATGGCCGAGTTGATCCGTTGATCTGGAAACCTCGCACAGTCCATCTCCGCCCCTCGCGGTTCCATCATGCTCCGCTCTGTCTCACCAGGGGTCATGGATCCCTAGGCCTCCAGTCATACCTTCTGAGAAGGTGGGACTGGGGTGGGTTTGGAGGTTCCAAATCCCTTCTGAGGAGGTATTTGGAGGTGTAGGGGGATGTGGATTTTGATGGGCACCCTGACGGCACCCGGAAGCATGGATCGCATGGCCCAACCGGGGCAGGTGTTCCACACCTGCGCCACGCCATGGAGAAAAGACGAGAATCCGCCGAGTTGGAAGTGACCCCCCTGGCGAAGTCGGCCGAGTGACCACCCGCCCGCTCCAGGACGTGAAAGCGAAGAAGACGGCTCGAGGCGTGTGGGACGTGACGTGTCGTCACGCCTGGACGCGTGGGTGGCGTTGGAAGGCGTTGGAAGGAGGTCTCTCCGCGCTTGGCTTCGGAGAGACACTGCCTGAAAGTGATGGTGTGGAAGTGGGAAAACCATTTGTTTGTAGGGGGAAAATGGTCATCCTTTCCGGGCCATGCCATCCACGTAACCATGATGGTTCCAGGGAGCGCAGGGGAGTTTAAAATGCTTGGCTTGGAGGTAGACAGCAAAAGTCAAGGCCAAACGACCAGCAGTTTTTCTTGAGTGCCAACATCTATACCGAGCCAAAGCACTCCCTGGAACACTCATGGAAGTGAAAATGGCCTCTTCCATGGCATAGGTATCAAAAAAAATAAAAAGAGCATCAACAAAAACAAAAACAGGATCAAGATAAAAATAAAAAGCGAATCAAAAAATAGATATTCCTTGATAGGCCTTTTCTGCTGCTCTCCTGGCCTTGTGGTCTGCGGGTCCTCTGGTAATGTGGTCCCTTGGTCCTCTGGTCCACTGGTACTTTGGTCCCCTGGTCTCTTGGTCCTTTAGTCCACTGGTCCCCTAGTCCTCCGGTCTCCTGGTCCTCTGGTCCTGTGGTCCGCTGGTCCCCTGGTATCCTAGTCCTTCTGTCTCCGAGCGCTCTGACAACGCCATGTAGGGCCTAACTTCGTGTGAACGCCGTGACTACTGCTACTGCTACCACTACTACTACTACTACTACTACTCCTCCTCCTCCTCCTGCTGCTGCTGCTGCTGCGCTGCTGCTGCTGCTGCTGACTGCTGACTGCTGACTGCTGACTGCTGACTGCTGACTGCT